CTCATCTCATCTCATCTCATCTCATCTCATCTCATCTCATCTCATCTCATCTTATCTCACCTTATCTCACCATTTTATTTTTCGTTTTCTTTTCTTTAATTTTTTTTTCTAACTTTATTTGATTAACTTCCTATTTCCTTACTGATTTCTCTCTTTTTATGCTATCCCATCTTATGTTTTCTCCTGAAATATATAACCTGATTATTGCTATGTTCCATTTTTTTAAATTTTAAGATATTCCTATTCCTATTTATCTTTCTTACCTTCCATCATCTTGATATTTCTGTCTTGTCTTGAGATCCTTCTTCTTCCTTTTCTGTTTATCCTTTATGATTGCGGCCTTCTTCGTTTTTCTCCTACATCTTATCGCCACTTCTCGGCGATTTCGCCTTGTACTTCTAAGGCTCTGCAATCATCTTAAGCTGTTTATCAGTGCTGAGTTTAGCCGATTCGATTTGCATCATTACTTCGGTGCGTTTTTAAAGTGTATTTTGCAATCTCCTCCTCTTTTGCTGAAGATATTGACGAATTTGTCTATGCTTATTTAGCCATTTTGTGCCGAGTACACTCGTCCCTTCAGCTCTCCTCCTTCAGCTGCTTTGCTTGCTTTCTCCTCGGTGTAGACATGACGACATGTATCGGGATATCGTTCCCTGATTTTTCGCCGTCGGCAACGAGGCATGCACCAAATGAGGCTGTTTAGTCATGTTCACCCATAGTCTACTCTCATCTGCTTTCTGTCCAGTGCCCAATCGATCAACGGTGCAATAACAACTGTTGGGTTGGTGTTCGTCCATATTAACCATGTTGAGAAGAAGCCCTGCAATCGATTCCCCAGTCCAAAGGAATCCAATTTGTACCCTTCCCGCCTCGACGCTTATAAATAGGCTTCCCTTAGCTATGCTCAAATGTCGGCAAACACTTCGTCAACTCTCTATTTTGCAAAATGTTGTACAAATTGCTGATTGCATTCGCCTTCTTGGTCGGCCTAGTGAGCGCAGCGTCCAAAGATTACGGCTACGGCTATGGACATGGCAGTAAATTCGGACACTTTGGCAAGAATGGTTATGGATACGGTGGCTATGGAGACAAGTATGGTTACGGTGGCTACGGCGGCTATGGTGGCTATGGCGACAAGTATGGCTATGGTGGCTACGGTGACAAATACGGCTACGGAGGCTACGGTGGCTACGGTGGTGACAAGTACGGCTACGGCGGTTACGGCCACTACGGTGGTGACAAATACGGATACGGAGGCTACGGTGGTTACGGCGGCTACGGTGGTGACAAGTACGGCTACGGCGGTGACAAATACGGCTACGGCGGCTACGGCGGTGACAAGTACGGCTACGGCGGTGACAAATACGGCTACGGAGGCTACGGCGGTGACAAGTACGGCTACGGCGGCTATGGAGGATACGGTGGCTACGGTGGCTATGGCGGCTATGGAAGCTATGGCTACGGCTACTAAATATAATTATTGCCTTTAAACTTCTGATCTCTTTATTAAGCTGTCTCAACGTGTGGGGGTTAGAGTAGTAGAAAAGAAATGGGATATAGAGTCATGAATTTGCGATTTATTGACTAATAAATTAGTAATCAAACTTTGCTTAAGATGACCTAGACGTTGATAGACGATCTTAACCGCAACGGGATGAGTAGGCAGTTTCGACCTGCCCTAAGTTTCATTAGTCCCGAGTGGATTCGAACCGGGGTCGTAAATATCGTGATGACAAGCTGCAATCCTAAATGGTAACCACGGCTAGCAATGTGTCACAGAGCAGTTGAGGCATGTAAGGCAAGTGAGACCGCCTCTAAATCACACTTAACAGTGGGATTCACGATAAAGCAGGCCTGTATAGGTCATTAAAATGGACATTGTTACTTATTGTGTATGTGAGTGGCTGTCGAGGCTACCAATAATTAATGAATAAGAGTGTCCACTCCGTGAGACACTGGCGCGTAAGTTCGAGTCCCGTTGGAGATGCAGATAAGACGATGGGAAAAAGTTGACAGATCAGTCGGTCGCGTCGAGCCGAGCCGAGATGAGAGATGGTCTTTTGTGAGTCGGAGGCAGGGATAAATGAACTGCACTGGTGTGATGCCTTCTTCACACAATCTAGCGGTCAAGAGCGTGGGCCAAACCTAAAATTCTTTCCACTATCTTTGTTATAGGAAAAGGAGTGTATTTCAGCATAAATCTACGAAGGGATTCTGTGCTAATCAGCTACTACTCTTCGTGCATTAACGGTGAACACTTCAAAGCACCATTAGCGACCTAGAATGACTGATTTCTCACTCTTGAATGGCCGATAGTCTCGAAAACTACTTACAACGAAATACACTATTGAGAGCTTTTCACCCTATTTCGTTTAAGGTAGAGAAGCACTGGTAGTTACCATTACATTTCACATAATCTTGCTTCCCAAAAGTTATTCACATCCCGGCTCGAGTGGACTGCAGACTTGAACTCGCCTGAATCTGTCCCATCAGCACCTCCAGCAGGACTCGAACACTGCTCCCATTGTACACACTAACTACTACGCCACATTGCCATGCGTGTCCTTGGTTGACAAGGCCGATGTGAATTTTCCATATCACATTCGGTGGTAGGATTGCCGGTGAAGCAAAGTAATATTTGCCGTGGCATTTGATCGCATTTCTTTTTTTCCCAAGTAGGCTTTTGAGGTTACCAGTAAACCCTATTTAATCATCTTAAACGGAATAGTCTGAATACACCTAGTCTGGTAGTCTCGAAAGCCCACTTACATACAAGAAATGTAGTTCTGCCTTTCTTGCTTGGTTGTTAGGCTTAACGGGTCGCTAAAGCCCCCTGCCCTGCTGCTCCGCTGCCGCCAAGGTGGTACCGAGCTAGGCCCTTGAAGGGAAAGAATCGGTCACGATCCCCTTTGAGACATCTCGTGGAAGGAGGCCATCGAAGCGTCTTGACGATTCGGTTGTTGCAGAGGCCTGTACGAATTTTAGCCGCTCTCGCATGGACACACGCCGTTGCGGAGGGTTGTAGGAACAAAACTTTCTTGCGGCCGACTGACGGCCGATCGCGACGTATCCGTTGCCTGGTCCGACATGGGACAGAATGACCATAATTCGATGGGGCGGGGACTCGAAGTCGGGCGAAAACTGGTTGTGAGTCGGGAGCATGGCAGATGATTATTAAAAGGGTTGTGTCCACGAGCGAGCTCGTCTTCGGCAAGATGGCCTGAACACAGACTTTCGCAAGGGGCAGGAGCAATCGGTATTTTGGCGGCATTTTCGTCGGCTAGACAACCCCGTTCGATTTGACGAACGGCCTCGCTTCGGGGCGCGATAGGAAGCCGCGCTAATTCCCTTTCAGGCCCGATCGGGCGAGCGAGCAACCCTCGTTTCGAGGCGGCAGGACGAACCGACATGATCTGTCGGTGTCGTCGGGTAGGTCACATGCGTCGACTCTGGCGATTAGATGTTGTCGTTGAGCCCTGCCGTCGGCTGTTCATCTGCCCGGCCGAGAGTGCAACCCGATTGATTTGATGTCAACTTTACACTAACCCTACCGTCCGTC